ACACACACATGTGCCCGGCATGAGTTTTAAGCCACTGGGTCCAGGACATGCACCGCGGTCGACTACGTGGGAGTCCAGCGACATAGCCATTACGCTAACTGCTGGTTCCCTGCCAGAAATATTTTAATGGAGGGGCCTCAGGTTGGTTGTACTCTGAGGAGTGGCGAAGGGAAGTGAAGAGAGAAGCTGAGAGGGACACAGAGGAAAGTTAGCACCTGTGTGAATTATTTAGCGGACTTTTCCTGAGACATTGCAGAGACAAAAGATTGTGAGGGTGCTTAGCCCAGTAAGGCAGACGTTCAGGCTTCAGGCTCCTGGCACTTCCATGATTTTTGTTTGTTTGGTTTTTTTTTTTTGTCATCAGAACCAGAACTGCATAGCTGCATGTACCAAGTGCCTCAACCATGTCTTCCAAAGATGGAGAACAGAAATGATAACAGCACTTACAAGTTCCAAGATGACATTCAGGGGCACATTTTTTGATGATAGTTAGAGCTACATTTTCTATTGCCCTCTGAACAAAGAATATCTTGTTGAAATGACATATATAAATACACGGAATTGATGTTTACTGACTGTTTAGAGTCATCTGAAATTCCATGCTTACTCTAATTTCTCTCTTTTGTTTTTAAATATAAGTGCTGTGTTATCCTATTATATATTGGTAAAATCGTTAAAAACTATTTTGAAAATACAAGTTCTTAGTTTAAATCATGAGGTCTAAAGTTTGCTTTTAGTAACTATACAAATATTTTAAAGTTGTTTTGGTTCACTGCTTTATAATTATTATCCAATGCCATTGCCTTTTTTTACAAACCAGTTTTACTGCATCCCACATTTAAGTAAATGAAATATATTTCAGGATTAAATACTGAAATTAATACTGAAATATAGTTTGGTATTAATTACATTGCCCAAAACATGTTATAAAAAGAGCAACTGCTATATTCTCATTAGCTTCATTTTACAATGTCTGTACACTAAAGTGTAAAACTGCTTACAAAACCAAACTCTGATGTAGAGCAGATCTGTCTTCACATGTTGTTCAGCTTCTAAAGTTAAGAAAGTGGTAAAAATAAGTTTGGGTTAGTTTTTTCCTAAGTGTACTTTCTACAAGAATATTGATATTTTTCTATCTTAAATTTGTAAAAGTATGAATTTATCTGTTTAAAAAAAAAAAAGAAATTGCCCACCAGGGGGTTGGTCACACCGCGATCCCCTCTCTGTTCTCAGGATTCTGGGCATGCATGCACATGCGTCCAGTGTGTTTCAAGCTGCTGGATCTAGGACTCAAACCGTGTTCATGTGGGTGTTTAGTACCTTAACCACCATGCCACCTTGCTGCCCCCCTATTATTTTTTTAATCTGACCAGAGAGAGAAATGGAAAGTGAGAGAGCAAGCCACCAGGTCAAACTAGTCAGCCATGTGGGAGTCCAGTGCCTTAACCACCATGCCACCTGCTGACCCCAGTTCTTTCCGTCTTTCTTAAAGAAAGTCCTTCTCTAACCAACCATGTTTGAAATGGTATCTCCTCCCCATACCCAACTCTCCCAAATTCGTTACTACTTGATTTGTCTCTCTAGTGCATATCTGCCCTTCTGTTCTTACTGCTTATTATCTTTTTTTTCTTTTGCCAGAGAGCACATATGTTTGCCAAGAAGAGAAAAATCCCTCTTCCCCCAATGGGACATGGTCACACCACAATCCTTTTTCCTTCATTTCTCCATCACATCAGGATCTGGGCCATGTACACACATATGCCTAGTATGTTTTTCAAGCCAACAGGGCTGGGACTTAAAACATGGTTGGCCATATGGGATCTGGCTCCTATGCACAGTGGTTAACTACTGCACTATGAATGTGGCTCTACTTATTTATTTTTTTTTTTTGGAGAGGCTTTTCCTATAGGGCGTGTGCGCTTGCCAGAAAGACAGACAGAGAGACAGAAAGTGAGAAATGACCCCCCCCCCCGGGGGGGATGGCCACACCTCAATCCCTTCTCTTCCATTCTCTCAGGATCTTGGGCATGTATGCACACGTGCCCAGCATGAGTTTAAGCCACCGAGGTTTTTGCTATAGAGGGTGTGTGCCCACCAGAAAGACAGAGAGAGACAGAGAGACAGAAAGTGAGAAATCACCCCCCAGTGGGGATGGCCATGCCACAATCTCTTCTCCTCCATTCTCCTCTCGGGATCTTGGGCACGCACACACACACATGCCCAGCATGAGTTTAAGCCTCCAGGTCCAGGACTCGAACTGCGGTCAACTACATGGGAATCCAGCAACATAGTCATTACGCCAACTGCTGGTCCCTATTCTCATCAAATTTTAATTTTCATGAATTGTTGAATCATTTTTGAGATACCAGGATGGAAAAATGACTTGAAGTAAAAAATAAATAAATAAATAAAAATCTGAGTGCTAGTTCTGCCAATGAAACTTGACCTTCCAGAGCTTCAGTGGCCTCATTTATAAAATGGTGCTAGTAAGTACTACGTGACATAAAAGTCAGCACCGAGTAGTGAACTGTTTGTTAAGGTGCAGTTTATGGACCATCCACAAGAAAATCCACAGATTTTCGGATCTCACTGTCAAACTATCAAATCCAAATGCAGATAGAGCCTCAGAATGAACATTCTAGATGATCTTTAAAATAGAGACAGAGTTCTCAGCAAAGTTAGAGACTGCCAGAGAGGCAGCAAGCTTAAAGACTAAGTCTAGAATTGTCCTGTAACAGACTTTGTTGGTTGGCAATCCAAAAGTACTCACGATCCTCTTTTCCCTTACCAACTTTGCACTAGAAAAGCTGGAAAAGCCGAACACATGCTTTCCTAGTCCCGTTTGGGGCAGAGTGGTTGATCAAGACAATTGGACATAGGAAGAAGTCTGCTATGGGACTGGAAAAGCTTTTCTTATCTTGCGGGCCAGTAGGTGGTATTGTGATTGAAGGGCTGGACTCCTACATGGCCAACCATGGTTCAAGGACCAGACCTAGCGGCTCACTTTCTTGCCCTTTCTCTCTCTCTCTCTCTCTCTCTCTCTGGTCAAATAATACTAATTACAACAAATGGAATTAAATAAATAATTTTTAAAATATTTTTTTCTTATCTTGATTTCCAAAAATGAGGTCCACATAGACTAATGCTCTGCTGGGGGACCAGCAGGTGGCGTGGTGGTTAAGGCACTGGACACTCCCACATGGCTGACCACTGTTTGAGTCCTGGACCTGATGGCTTGCTTTCTCACTTTCTCTCTCTCTCATCAAATTAAAATAAATGAATAAATAAAATTAAATAGATAATTCTTAAAAATATGAAAAAAAAAAAGAAAGAATATTGCTCTATTGTGCACCATCCTCTGCTCCCTATCTTAGGATAGGAGGCTGCCATGACCACCTTACAATGATGAGCCAAAGGCCAACGGAATTATGAAGATGCAGGTCAGATTCTAATGTTGCTAGCCCCCTGTACCAATACCAAAACCTTTTCCATAGTTCTTGTTACCATGAAAACTTTTTATGTTATATATCTGTATATTACCTAATTGCTAAAGTTGTACGGATTAAATGAGAATCAGATGATGTTTTGTTAATGTTTAGTAAATATTGGCTGTTACTAGTACAGGAATATTGTTAAGATCTGAGATAATAGCTATAAATATTGCAAACTGTAAAAAAGTGATTACCACGAGAAGGTGGCTTCTAGATCTTCAACTGCAGGGAGTACGATCGACCCAGGGCCCCTGTTGCTTTACTCTGAAAAGCACCACCACCCGTGGTCTGAAGCCATGCTTCCCAAGCGCTCCTGAGCTGTTAACAGCCTGGCAGAGACTCTAAATAAAGCAAACCTGTTCCTGGTAGCTGTTCCTGGTAGATAGAGATCGACTGCAGTCGACTTGGCCTCCGGGCTTGAGGGTCTTGGCAAACGTTATGCAGCTCATCAAACTTCCTCGGAGACTCTATGGCGGCCTCGGATGCTTCTACTAACATTCCGTCATTCAGGATCAGGTTTGCATCGACACCGTCTGATGGCTCTCCCAGCTGCTTCTCCCTTTCACTCTCACAGAGGTTTCCCTAGTAAAATTCTTACACACGTTTAATACTATTTGGGGGCCTATTGCTTGGAGGGCCCAGACGAACATAAGCAGCATTACAGAAAGAGGAAGGTGAGAGAGCATTCTGGGAAGATGGCTGAGTTTAGAAAGCACCAGGAATCCATCTCTCCATCCAGTAACTGTACTGGCAGACTCTCTGATGTAACTGTTTTGGAACTCTGGGATTTATCGAAGGCTTACAACTTCTAGGCAAGACTTGGATGGGAAATTGCAGTTAATTTCAATCAACTCTTAGCTCTGCTGCACCTGCCCATCCCCCCTCCCTCAGCCCCATGGCAGGAAGCCCTGCATATGTTCCCGGAGCAGCTTGCAAACAGCTTTTAGTGCCAGGAGTGGTCTATAAGGACTCTGTCTTCCAAGGATTGGTGATCTGTGTTTTGATCACTGCTTCTAATCAAGGAGGTGCAGGCACTGAGGTGAACAGCTGTTGTTGTGTCTCCTATGTTTGCAAGGACATTCAGGAGAGAGAAAGGCCAATGCCTTTTTCCTTCTCCTTCCTTTTTCTCTCTTTCTCTTTTGAGACCCAGACATTAAAGACGAGGAAATTTGCTTTTTCTTGCGAACTTGCTTCCAAGATGACAAAGAAAAGAAGGCATAACTATTCCAAAAGGAGCTGTAGCCACATGCTGCATATTCATTGCACAAACTGCACTCAGTGCATGCCCACAGACAAGGCTGTTAAGAAGTTTTCATTCAGGGGCCAGCAGGTGGCGTAGCTGTTATGTCGCTGGACTCTCACATGGTCGACTGCAGTTCGAGTCCTGAACCTGATGGCTTGAAAATCACACCAGGTGTGCATGCTCAAGATCCCAGAAGGAGAATGGAGAAGAAGGGATTATGGTGTGGACATCCCTCTAGGAGGTGATTTCTCATGTTCCCTCCCACTGTCTCTTTCTCTCTCCTTCCAGCAAGTCCATGTGACCTAAGGCAAAAAAAAAAAAAAAAAAACACTTTAAAAAACGTTTGCATTCAAAGCATCGAACCATGGTAGAGCACGCACACGCGCCTGGCGTGAGTTTAAGCCACCGGGTCTGAGACGCGAACCGCGGGCGACTACATGGGAGTCCAGCGACATAGCCATTATGCTAACTGCTGGTCCCCCTCTCTCTCTCTTTGATCGAACTGGAAAATATTAATAACAATAAATAAAGTCAAATAGAATATCATCAAACAAACAAACAAACAAAAAAGCCCATGAGTTCATCCAGATACCTCCCATCCGCTCCAGTACCACAGGGCTTATTCTGGTTGTGATGCTTCTCATCTTCGTAAGTCTAGTCTCTGGCAGTGAGAAGCCCGCTTCCCGTTACTTTCAGCTTCTTTTTCTTGCTTATTCAGTCTCCTTATCTGCCATGCCTAGTCTCCAGTCATTCCAGGCAAGGACTTTGCCGTGACCTCATGGGTCACCTGAGAGGGAGAGGAGGGAAATTTTCAGCTATTGATTGGTGATTCCATAATACCATGTCAGCCCTTTGGTGCTTTGAAGAATTTCTCACTCTTT